CAGATTGGAGCTCTGTCGAAAACATAACGAGCAATAACTAAATAAGAACAAGACAAAGATATTCTGAGACATGGTAAGCGAAACAAAAACAATCCACCTCCGTGTATTAAATAAATGACTCTATTCGAAATTCTATGATAGTTACACGGGTCGATATTTCCCTGATGAACCCGGAACGTCGGATTAATAAGAACGAAGATGAGGTGAATTGTGCATCTGTAAATAGCATTTTTGATTATCTTACATAATTACATTTTTTTTTTTGTTATTTTGGGTGGCGGTTTTTTCCTATCAAATATAACGTGGTAATGCGGTCGACTACCTAGAAAATTACAATGTGTTTTTTTAAGAAACGAATTAAGGAAGAATAAGTTGAAATTTAAACAGGGCGCGCCAAACTCACTTACAGGTTTGATAGACACTATGATACACTCATATCTAAATATCACTATACAAAACTAAAATTCATAAATAAACTTAAAAATCAACTTATTCATTTAAAAATCGAAAATGGCGACCCTACATGAAAAAAAAAATGGTTGTTTAAAAAATTTTGTTGTGCTCCAAATCTTGTACATGCACATATCGGCGCCGAATGAGAAAGCAATCTGCAAAGATTCAAATCTGATCGACTTTGTTTCCATTATTATGTACTAATACCCTTGGAAAAGTCATGAATCATTCTTCGTCTAGTTATTTACAAACAGAAAGGTAGACTGGCCTCTTACGCCTTGGTTGGCAATCTTGGAGAAAAGGGCAACTTTGAATTCAAAACTCATGAAATAATAGAACAGATTTTAGTTTCGGTAGAAGAACCAGTTTAAGAGGAGGAAAAACTCTGAATTACCAAAACCAATAGAGAAATAGTCTCTGCTAGGCTGTCTTGCCTGAGTCTTATATACATTAGTCAATCGTTCAACTCTGAACCGACTGTTCGGTTGTACTCTCTTCCTACGGACGGGAGGCTACGCCGAAGGGAAGTCTCCTCCTTCGGGAGGTAGACCGGCCCTGAACCCGTTTATACGGGTTCAATGGGCATTTTTTGGCCGAGCCCACGGGCTCGGGAATGCCCACGTTAAAGACCTTGTGCCACATGACACCCTCGTGGCTGGGACTGAATATCGTCATAGTTACATCTGTTACAACTGCAGTACATGTGATGCACCTACGATGCTGCTAGGTCCCAAGATTCGCGAACATTCCCTGGAAATTCAGTTAAATAGGACAAATGAATTTAAAAGAAACTTACTGCTATCTTTTTTTTTTTTTTTTGGATGATTTAAACTTATGCTTTCTTCATCGTCTGCATTTTCATGTTAATATCTTTTGCACTCATAAATTTTCTGCCACTTCTCATTCAATTTCTTTTCTCCAGCCGCCACGATTTTCCATCATATTTTATTTCTGAGTAGAGTATGTTTCCCCTCCCAACAACTCGATACTTTCTTTCCACTTCACCTGATCGATTGATTTCCTCTTTGCCGACATTCTGCTTCGGCAACTGCTCCGAAATCTTTGGCACGATCTCTTTCTTCATTTCCCCTGCAATATTCCGACCATATTTTGCCTTGTTTTCACTGTTTTCCTTTCCCATTTCTATATTACCTGTCCTGGAACTGCTTTCTTTCCAATTCCTGACATTTCTATCTGGTTTACGTTCAGGGAACTCTTCATTGTATTGCTTTTCAAAATCGAACGGTTGATGCTTACATTGATATAAAACAAGTTCTCTTTGCTTTCTATGTCAAAAAACTGTTTGCCGTCGCAATGAAAATAAAAATAAATAAACCAACTAAAAGAAATAAAAATGGAGTAGCACCTAAAAAGAAGGCCAAGAAAACTTAAATAAACTATTACTGAAAAATAGGTACAGTATTAATTTGCTAATTTGCAGATTAGACTAGTATCAGACAATCTGTTTCTAGTCTTTTCGATATACAATGAAACATAGGTACAGTATTAATTTGCTAATTTGCAGATTAGAGTAGTATCAGACAATCTGTTTCCAGTATTTTCGATGTACAGTGAAACATGGGTACGGAATTAATTTGCTAATTTGCAGATTAGACTAGTATCAGACAATCTGTTTCTAGTCTTTTCGATATACAATGAAACATAGGTACAGTATTAATTTGCTAATTTGAAGATTAGACTAGTATCAGACAATCTGTTTCCAGTATTTTCGATGTACAATGAAACATAGGTACAGTATTAATTTGCTAATTTGCAGATTAGACTAGTATCAGACAATCTGTTTCCAGTATTTTCGATGTACAATGAAACATAGGTACAGTATTAATTTGCTAATTTGCAGATTAGACTAGTATCAGACAATCTGTTTCCAGTATTTTCGATGTACAATGAAACAACTGTTCCGTTATTTGAACTGCGATCAAAGTATAATATCTGTTCTCGTCTTTACCGTGCAGAAAGATTTGAAAGGAGTTTGGTTACAGGGATTTCAAACTTGTGTCAGCACCTCCCTCATTATACAAAAGAGGAAGTGTTGGTGGATGCCGACGCCGGCGTGACAGTGGTCGTAGTGACAGGGCAATTTTTGTCTCAGGCACATATGAGTTTGCCTAAAATAAAAAAAAAACAACCTTGTGTCACATCACGCCACCGTTGGTAGGCGAGTAAATACAAACAAAGAACCTGGCTTTCATACTAGTATCTATTCGCAGAATCTCTTCTGTAACTTCTGTACTAGTTATTAGAGTTTACTAGTTTAGGATATTCCTAGCCTGCAGCAAAGGTGTCTTCATTGCACTAAAATTGGGAGAGTTGGTGGAATATCAATTGACAGTTTTTGGATTAGCAGTTCACATTAAAAACGACCGTGTCTTCCATCCTCCATTCAAAACGAGCTTGAAAAAGAGACGGGCGTATATAATCTTATATTGCCCGAGACACATCAAATCAACGTACGACCGCAATATATAGGATGTTTGGCCGTAATTTGACAACTTTTAAAAAATGGAAAACAAAGTGAATATCTAAGCCAAAATTCTTTTTACTAGACAAATAGAAAAATGTTTTTAATAATCAAAATGAAATTCACTCAAAGAAGACACCATCAAAATCTACCACGGCCTCGATCCAACTCCGGAATCTATCTATCTATCTATCTATCTATCTATCTATCTATATATATATATATATATATATATATATATATATATATATCAAATCGCTCTTCAAATGAACATGATTTAATAACGTCGATGAAATCCAAGAGAATGCAACGAAGCAGCTGCTCACTATTCCAAAAAAGGAGTTCCAGGAATGCTTCCATCAGTGCAAACAACTCTGGATAAAGTGTGTGGCTTCAGAAGGGAACTATTTCGAAGGAGATTAAATGCCGAATTGATATTTTTTTAGTTTTCGTTTTATATCACCTATGTTTTTCCTTTAGGATCAGACAATAGTCATTGTTTATATATGAATCAACAAGGTATGGTGATTGTCGTTTCCCGCTTGAATGTAATATTCAAACCAAGGCACTTAGTAATTTATATTGAATCAATTGCTATGTCTACTGCAAGGATAGTTGATTCACAGACAAACATTTCTTCGCGTCAGAGTCCATCTTCTACATTTATAAATCTACCCTTCATCCATGCATTGAATATTACTGCCATATTTGGTCTGGTGTTTCTAATATACGGGGTATCCATAAAATTCGTGTGCACTTTAAAAAATGATAACTTTATTTGTATTTGCGATATAAATCATTTTTAAAAAGGATTAGAAAGATGTAAATCTATATTACTTAAGGTTTTATTGAAATTTTATTTAAATTTCCACATGTCCTCCATGATTAGCAATACAAAGTGTAATACGATTTTTCAGTTCACGGAAAACATTTGCCAACTGATTTACAGTAATACCTGAATCACATTAGTTATTTTAGCTATACTTGAAACTAGGTACATTAAAATTTATAATAATTTTTATAGATTATTTCTATTGCAAATACAAATAAAGTAATAAATATTTTAAAATGCACACGAACTTTATGGACACCCTGTATATCTGGAGATTCTTGACAAAATCCAAAGACGACTCTGTAATGTAATCTATCCTGAGAAGGTATCTAGACTTCAGTCATTTTCCCACCGACGTGACATGGCTCCTCTCTACAGATATTTTCATGGCAGTTGTTCTGTTGTGGTTTCCTCCTTGTTGTCTAGGATTTAAGCGTGGTACTAGACTGGTAATTAGGTCTCATCGTTTTATCGTTTAACTAGCTAGATGCAACCGTTAGGTTCTGTCTTAATAGTTTCTTTTTTCGAACTTCTCGACTGTGGAAATCTGTTCTTTTTTTTTCTTCCTTGCCACGTACAATCTTGAAAATTTTTAATTCTATTCCAATCGCCATCTTCTGCCTTCCTGAAACCTCTCCTGTTATTGTCGCTTCTCCTATCTAACGTCTTCACGATTCTTCATTCTCTTTTGCAGTAATCCCTTATGTTTGAGTTGCATTATCGTCTTGTTTGAGATCAAAAGATTAATGAATAAAAAAAAAAAAACTTACGGAAATGACCATCCAGATTTTGGAAATCCCATAATCCGATCCGTCTGAAATACCACTAATCCAACTGAATTACAAATTGTTTTCCACTGTTCAAATCTTTTCTCGCTGCTCTATTGCTAGTATCAAATTCGTGCGAGTTACATTCGTTCGTTTCACAAGTCAAGTCTGCACCCGTCATGCCCCATACACGGGAGTGGCTCATTCTGATTCCCCTCAGATTCCACTGGACAGCGGTTTCACTCAGACAGCATTTTCCTCAGAACTGTTGCATATAACGTACTCCCAAGAGGTTGCTTTCCCGATCCTTACCATCTTAATCTCTTCAAGCCGAAAGTCACCCGTTATCTTTCCTACATATGGTCATGATATAAAACCATTCATCCCAGCCTAAATGTCCTTACAGCATCCCCACTTTGAAACACACTATCTTGAGTAGTATTTAGGCCTTTGCGGCTTACAGCATTATCATGTTGAAACACAGGTTACCGTACGACCAGCGAAGTTAAGCAACGTCTAGCCTGGTCAGTACCTAGATGGGTGACCGCTTGGGAATACCAGGTGCTGTAAGCTTGAATGTGCGGATGGTGTAATGGATAATGGCTCGGAATTGTTAAACGGAGAGCTGAATTTCCCTTTCAGTTGTGTTTCTTATATTAACTTACGCGCAAATACCCTAGAAAAAGGTATGAATACAGCTCTTCTCTCCCCAGCTATGGGTTAATTAGTAAGACTATTATTATCTAAAAAATAAATAAATAAAATTGTGTTCAAAATATTTACATTTTAGCATTAATTAACCCATAAAGGTCGCTAATGCCACGAAACAAAATCAACCAGCCTTTTATTGAGAGAAAATACTAAAATGAGACATACCATGGTGTTCTCCATAGGAGTTTCCTCTAAGTGTAAAAAAATCGATTGAAACATCCAACACCCCGTGAAACTAGAACTATTTTAATATTGGGTTATTTATTAAAGGAAAAAAATTCGATTCGCAATGAAAATAGTATTTTGAACCAAGTCAAACTTGAGCGCTTCCTAAGACGATCGGTATGTGGTTAGCGACCTCATCCTGTTTCGTTATCAATAAATGGCTTTCTGAGGAAGCCATTGCAAATAATCTGTCCGTAATACAAACCTCGGGAGTAAAAGAGAAAGGATTACAAGGAATAGTTTGATGGATAAGCAGGACTTTCGACAGATAATTGGCAAGAAGTCAACGTTTAATATTTCGAGGATATAGCAGTGATGGCGACTAAAAACAAAAGTTAAACACAACTTTTTTCTTTGGGAAAGGGAGAAACTTTAAATAGTGTCTGCTTTCTTCCGGATGTGGACTTTTCAAGCTAACCTCCCCGTTCCAGCTCATTCACCGGAATCAGAAATCGATTTTACATTATCCCTCGGCGGTAGCCTGGAATTGATTTTATATTACCCTTGCACGATTCAGATCATAACCCTCGCTGACTTTTTCAAATCATATATCTTTATGCTTACAACTGCTGATAGGTTTATTGAATAAATATACAATATTGAAAAGGTAAATACAGAGAGACATTGCTAAGTTTGACGTCGAGGAAAATGAGAAAATTGTGTCTAAGCCAAGATGGTAACTTAGTGATAATATCTGTTTGGAGAAACGACCCCAATGTACCGCATCGTTATGAAGTTACTGACGGGTTGACCCAAACCTTTTAGGTAAAACTGGGTAGACAAAATTGTTTGGATGCCGGCCATGGTTGTGTATGAATTTATTAAAATATTTTGTTGGTAATTTTACTATAAAAAGTATTGAGGGTCATTTTGCTTTAAAAATATATTTTGGTCATTTTCTATAAAAAGGTAATGTTGGCAATTTTTCTACATAAAATGTATTGCTGGTATTTTTACTACAAAAATGTATTTTTATATTTTCATAGTATTTTGTTTTTGTTTTGGGGTTCACTATTTGCCCATTGCCGGGACCCTAACAGATGCTACTACCCGGGATCAGAGTGGACTTGGGAACAACAACAATTTCAAATGTTGTTACACGCACCCCAAAATCTTCATTCTCCTGATCAGAAGCCCTGCTGCCGGATGTAGTTTATCGCCATACCCAGGATTGGTAATTAAGATGTTGTTCCAGGCACCCCAAATCTTCATTCTCCGATCTAGAAGCCCTGCTGTGTCGGATGTAGTTTATCGTCATACCCAGGATTGGCAATAAGATGTTGTTCCACGCACCCCAAAATCTTCATTCTCCCGATCAGAAATGTAGTTATCGTCATACCTGATTGGCTTAAGATGTTGTTCCAGATGATCAGAAGCCCTGCTTTAGTTTATCGTCATACCCAGGATTGGCAATTAAGATGTTGTTCCAGGCACACCAAAATCTTCATTCTCCCGATCAAAGCCCTGCTGTCGGATGTAGTTTATCGTCATACCCAGGATTGGCAATTAAGATGTTGTTCCACGCACCCCAAAATCTTCATTCTCCCGATCAAGCCCCATGCCGGATGCCAGTTTATCGTCATACCCAGGACTAGAATTGAGATGTTGTTCCAGGCACACCAAAATCTTCATTCTCCGATCAGAAGCCCTGCTGCCGGATGTAGTTTATCGTCATACCCAGGATTGGCAATTAAGATGTTGTTCCAGGCACACCAAAATCTTCATTCTCCCGATCAGAAGCCCTGCTGCCGGATGTAGTTTATCGTCATACCCAGGATTGGCAATTAAGATGTTGTTCCAGGCACCCCAAAATCTTCATTCTCCCGATCAGAAGCCCTGCTGCCGGATGTAGTTTATCGTCATACCCAGGATTGGCAATTAAGATATTGTTCCAGGCACACCAAAATCTTCATTCGCCCGATCAGAAGCCCTGCTGCCGGATGTAGTTTATCGTCAAGGCGACTGACGCTTTCTTTTCTCTACTCCAATTCACCGAGTATACTCACACAAATATATAAACTCAGACACTCACACATTTCAGTCAGTGATTTTATTTCGCATACGGCATTATTATTATCTAATCAATTTCGCTAATTTATCGATATTTCAAGTTTCCTCGGCGAGTCACAACAACAGAGAACTAACCAGTGGACGTATTAAATCCTTAATCGGATGAGTAACACTCCACAGGACCCAATCAACTTATCCAACAAGCAGATATAACCTAATCAGAGCCTCACAGCAAATAGGCATAATCTTCTTAACTTTCTAATTCTCGAAGATTAATTTAACAATTGAGAGTAGATACGTTTTCTTTTTCTTTCTCTTTTTAATAAATTTCATCCAAAACAAAGGAACAATATTGTAGGGATGCGAACCGTTGTTTACGATTACAAGTATAATCGGCAACCGCATGTCTTTCAGTCTAAACTGCGATGTTCCTTCTTCATCCATCGACGTTGACCTTTTCCGAATATGGGCCATCGTGTCCTTTCTAGCTCTTCGTAAGGTTTATATTTTGGATATCACACCTAATACCTGTTATGACATGCATTTACCGAAAATCATTAGGTGGGTTATTCGCTGTTTTCCTCAGTCCGTCTCACCTTCAGTATGTCCTGGCGCTAAGGATTACGGCATACATCATGTTGAAACACCGATCTTATCATCGAAGTTAAGTAACGTCGAACCTGGTCAGTACCTAGATGGGTGACCACTTGGAAATACTAGGTGCTGTTATCTTGGATGTGCGGATGGTGTAATGGATAATGACTCGTAATTGTTAATCGGAGAACCGGGCTCGAATTCCGGTTGAGTTCGTTATATTAATTTACACGAAATTACTCTTAGCAAAGGCATGACTCCACCACTTCTCACCTAGCTATGGATTAAATAGTAAGACTTGTATCATTAAAGCATTATTTTTCCCAAAAACAATTCTAAAAATCTATTCTGGCTTTAAATAACCTGCAAAAAGTTGATAAGGACACATAGCACAGTAGATAAAGGCGTTAGTTAGATCCAGTGACAGGACCTAAAGAGTGTGATTTCAATACCCGGTTAAAGAAGTGGTGAACTTAGAGAGGGGAATTAACAGGAGATAACTGATAACTGCCATCCATTAAACATGGCATGTGGAACTAGAACGGTCTACCCTACTGAGCGAAATAAAGGTTTCACTTCAACATTCCAACCACCTGAAGAAGGCCGAAGAGAACAACGGCTGAAACGTTGTAATAAATATGGCGACAAAAATTAGGACAATAGTCCGAATAATGTAAATAGTGTACATAATACCTCATCTCAGAAATATAGACAGATACTGAAAGAGTTGATAAGCTGAAAAAAGCTAATCAAAATACTCCAGGCCATTTTGCTCATCTTGTGACCGGGGAATTTTAAATGCCAGTTTCACATTCGAAGTAAAAATGTCTTTTTTGTTTTCGTTTTTCTTAGAATTTACAACTCAAATTTTCAGCCGATGAGATTCTCAGCATCATTCTGTAGAACCACATTTCTGCTACCCGAAGTCTTTTCCTTATCTGTGGATTAGTCCTGGGTATTAAGATAAATTAGGAATGCCTTTGATCACGAGATTGGAGGTTTCGATGAGCTTGGAACTACTTCGTCATTACTGTTGTTCGCGGGAGCATTCTGGCCTGAGGAAGTAGCACTTCTTCCAGTCAAAAGCTACGGGCAAATAATGGACCCCAAACAAAAGCAAAACACGATGTATATATATATATATATATATATATATATATATAAAACAACATTTTCTAGTCAAAATGATCAGCAATACATTTTATTTGAAGTTTAAGGAATCCATCTGTATTTAAAATATACTGGAAGCCATAAATGATTTAAAATATTTTAGTTTTCGACATTAAATAATCCATAGATATTGATATGCCGCTAAATGTAATCAACAAAGATAAATAATACCAATCTGTGGTTAATTGGGGCAACGAATGGTTTGTAAATGTGAAAGCCTCCAAAAAAATGTTTTCAATTAATCACCGAGAGGACATTTATCTGCCTTCTTCTCTGTATGGCTGATGCTAACCTCTAGAAGAGCAACACATTTTAGGGCACACATTTTCCACTGACATGAAGTGGAGTGACTATATTGAATTAATTGCTAGGACTTCTTGCTAAGAAGGTTTGTTCATTGTGTCGTGTCAGACAATTTTTATCGTCAAAATTCACATTACCAATTTCTAAATCTAGCATCAATTCTTGCATTGAATACTGCTGCCATATCTGGTTTATATATATATATCAGGTCATCCCATAAGTTCTGTCCGAATTTTACCTTTTTTTAAAATGAACGAAATTTAAAGAGTATTTTATAATGTCTAATGGAGCTTAACATTATTTTTATGATTAGATGCATTTAAACTGATCAAATTTTATTTCAGAGAACAATAAAATTAAATTTTGTTTGATTAAAACCCTGCTAACATGGAAGTACCCAAGAATCATTTGAGGCACATAATGCTTTACGAGTTCAAGAAAGGAAACTCAGCAGCCGAAGCGGCTAGAAACATTCACTCAGTTTATGGAGAGGAATGTGTGAATGAAAGAACTTGCAGAAGATGGTTTGCAAAATTCAGAGGTGGAGATTTCACCCTT